GCTTCTAAAAGACTTTCTGTTCATGAATAGATGACTTTGTGTATATAGAATCATGCATATATGTGTAGCTTTAAAGACAATTTCAGAATGCCTTAGAAGAATGACATTTTATAAAGCTGTCACAATTGATATCCATAGGCTATTACATCTCATGTTTATTCATGATCTAGAAAGTTTTGTTATGTATTTAAGAAATTGCTGTCATATTTTCCCAATTATTTGAGAATAAAATAGCTGTTTTAGTCTCTAGCCTCAATAAATGTGGAGCAGGAAATCAAGTGTGTTAACTTACGTTGTGCTGCATGTTTCTAGACACGTTCAATTTTATCATCTCCGTCATTATTAAATCTTAGGCTCAGAATTGACAAAAAGGACCCTAATCTGCAATGCCATTTATGGAAGTAACTCTTGCAGCCTTGTTTCCTAAAAGAAATGGGAGCAAGTGTAATGCCCTCACTTGTTGCAGACTTTCTCGTATGTGTGATATTCCACACTGCTAGTGCACAGGCATTCATCCTCATCCAGAGAAATAACCAATAATTTAGGTCTTTGATCATTCTAACAAAAAATGCTGCCAGGCATCAAAATCATTAGTTCTGTAAAATAAGGGTTGGACGACATACTCTCTGAGGTCATTTCTAAACTTCTAAAAGTTTATTAGAGGAATGTATTTCCTCGTTAGGATTTAAAAAGAGATTTACATTAGAGAGTTAACTTAAGGTCATTTCCTTTTGATTAGTATTCAGGGCAGGACTCCTCTAAAACTGAGTGCCAGAAATTGGTTAACAACTAGAACTTGTATTTCTATAAAACTGAGAGCTCATATTTCTATACTGCTGTTGATGCCTTTTTATTGAATATTATATGCTTCTAAGATGATACCTGAGTACAAAGGTTTATAATTGACCTATAAATTGAAATTTCATTTTCTAATCATTCAGTTTTGAGAAAATAAGATCACTTTAAAACATGGGGGGTTATGGTTTCTTACTTTGCTTAATCAGCTCCTAGAATTTCAACATTATTTCATTTTAAAGTACACTTATTGTTTGCTGAACTTGAATTTGCATTCCCAAAGAATTATTGAATGAACCATTTTATACATCAGTGATTTTAATCAATACCTAACCAGCAGACTCATTGCAATGTAAATTATGAATCTAGTGAATTTGCAGGAGAACTGTAGTTAGGTTTTTCTGTTATTCAATTATTTCCATTTGTTAGATAATAAATCTAGGGTTCTTTTAGACCTTAAAGATAGTATCCAACTCTGCATTATGAGAAATTAATTTCTTCAAATAATGGCAATTGTTTTATTTATACATTTTTACATATATGTTTTAAAAAAATTTAAAGCTTTTATAAATGAGGTTTAACATGTACTTTTTAAAGATCTTTGAGACAAATCCTATGAGATAATGAAGCAGATTGATTTCATAGAGAAAGCAATGGTTTTGTGTTCATGTCTTTCCAAGGGTCACACTATGATGAGTGGCAGCCAGAAAAAGAATGCTCTTTGAAAGCCTCCTTGAGAGTACTTTAATGCCCTTTCATTTGTCTATAATTCTGAGCCTGCCTTCACTGTCATGCCTGAGTCCCAAGAGAATGAACTCCCCTCTCAATTATTTGCATCAGTGGAAGTATATGTAAGAGAATAATTTATTATTTCAAATAATCATTTTGACTCTTTTTTGGTGTGTCTGACAGCATGCCAGTGGCAAATGGCCACCCCCTGAGATCAAACCCAGTTACTCCCTGGGGTTCAGCTGGAAGAGAAGGGAAGGAGATGGAAGGTGGTTCATTAAATAACTAGGTGGTGTGTATCTGACTTGTTAATATTGGAGCTAGGATTATAGCTAATGTTGGAACTAGAATTATACTTACGGCAAATGCCAAAACGTTTACCTCTTCTGCACAAATACAAAGTACATTCTCAGAGATTCCTTTTAATGTTTACAATCAAGACTCAAAGCAATGGTTAACTCAGATCCAAATTCTTTCCTATTAACATTATCAGCTTGTACTCTAATATGTATTTGTGACCGGTCATTAAATAAATCAATTGACTGGCAGTTTTCAAAGCAGGAAATGAGACTCTAATGAGCCTACTTAATGAATTTCTGATGTATATAAAGTTATGCTTTGAATTCCGTTTTCTGCCTTTGTGTTTTTCAATTTCAGTACAATTTTATCATATTTTCTTTTTTTGTATGTTAAAACTAGAATTTAGGCTTTTGATGAGAAGGGAATTAAGTCTAATATTAGCTATTTTATCTGGTAGTTCCTTAATGATCTGCCACGATTTGGGGGTGTGGTCTCCCATGGAGGTGTGAGTGGGTGGTTAACATCAATCCTATTGACCACGTTCACACGAAAGGAACGTGAAGGTTTTCTTGAGGTAAGTTCTGGGACTTCTGATTATTGATCAGCCTAGACTTATTTTTTTCAAGCCAAGCCAGTTTGTTTAATTAAAAGCAAACAGGTCCAGAAATCTACACACCACCCTGCATGGTGTGTACCGAATTCCAGCCTGACCCTGGGACTTTAGCACCACAAGGGCACGTGAACAGAGTGTTAGGAGAGGATTGGCAAATCAGGTGTCACCCAGGGCACAGAACAAGCAGGCAGCGTCCTCTGTTCTCTCTGCCCTCTGCCAATCCAGGCAGCATGGGGAGGGGGAACAGACACCCAGCTTGCTATAAGATGACTTCAGTTCCAGGCCTGACTTTGCTCTTGACTGGTGGTGTGATCCAGGGTCAGCCATTTATCATACAACATCATTTTGTCTGTCTTAGCTCAGGCTTAGGAGGAGTGGATGAGATCATGAATGTCAAAGTTG